TGGAAATGTGGGCATTAAAAAAGAAGCATGAGGACACACAAATTGTTTTACATTAAGGCTAAGTACAGACATTCAAAGAGCCCGAGCCTGAATTGATTCAATCTTTGCAGGTTAGTCTAACCTGTGTAGATTGTACTGCCAAGCAAGTGAATAGACATTGATGTTTTCATTCCGGAAATGCAGCCACATACCTGCAGTGGCTCAGATCAGAAGTCGACGGAGGGCACTGCGGCTGGCAGACCCCGCTGCAGTTCCCCGGTGGGAGAGAGGCTGGAGAGGGAGAATAAACCCCTCCCTCCCCACTTCGCTTCAGAGGGCCTTGCTAACCAGAATCTGGCCATGCCCCCACCCCTGCAGCGGCGAGGGGGGAGGGACCCCAGACCCAGCTGGGGTCCCAAGCAGAGAGGGGAGGGAGGGAGGGGGGAATAAGCCCCCTCCCTGCCCTGTTTGCCTCAGGGGGCTATGCCTAACCGGTATCTGGCCACACCCCCGCCCCTGCTCTGGCTAGAGAGCAGAGGGGTGGGGGGGCAGCTTTACTGTTTGGAGCAGACAGCACAGCCCAGCCCAGGGCTGAAAAGCATGCTGGGATGCTGGGGGACTCTGATTTAACTTAAACCAGGAAGGGGTCTGGGACAGAAGTTCCATAAACTGGTTTGACCTCAATCAGTTAAGTCTGATACTACTTTCAACCAGGTTTATCTTAAACCAGTTTCAGCCGTTTTGAAACTGGTTTATGTGCACTGAACTTGTGTTGTGTTCAGTGGCAATGCGTAGGGGGTACACAGGGGTGCACGCGCACCCCCTGAGAGCACCAGTGCACCCCTGATGGGCCATGCTTGCCACTTAAGCAATGGGCAAGGGGGCAGGCGGGAGCGCCGGTGCCCCCCATGACTAAGGTGGCACCAGTCGCCCATGGTTCTGTAACAGGTTTAAATTGGTTTCTGATCACTTAAACCAGTTTATGTTTAACTTCTGTCCCTAGCCTAAGGGAGCAATATGATGAAATGTAAAAAGCTGAATGAAGTGAGATAATTAGAGGTCTGGAAGGCCCTTTTAAGTAAGGGAAAATGACACCAAGATCAATAACAACCTTGTGAGGATGAGGTGGCTTGCTGTCTTTCATGTTTATATCTTTCAGATGTTATGTGAAAAACAACAGCCTACCTGCAAGTTGTAGATATGTTAGTCTTTACTTACTTGTTACCTGTTCTAGACCAGTCATCATTCTAGTTGCTTTGAGCTTCCTTCACTTAATACGTTTCTTGTAATGGGGTGTCTGGATTTGAAACAGTTTTCCAGGTGCAAGTGCAGCACATGGAAAAGAGTCTCTTGAGCCTCCAAATTTCTACTGTTTTGAATACCTAGTGTATAGATTTATTTTTACCACAGCTTAGCACTACAAGCATCCTGGTAACAGGTAAACCAGAATGCTACTGACAAACATGGTTCAATTCCTTCCTTTACAGGGTTTTATAATGGGACTTTTACTTTTCAAAACAACAAATACATGGAAAAGTCACTTAGTCTTCATGTAGCCTAGCAGTATAAAATCTATTTTAAAATGGATTGCTGGCAAGCAGTTGATCTGTAATATGATTTGTTTGCTCAAGTGCCCTTGGACAAAAATGCTTAAGCCAATATAAGTTCTTTAAACTGACTATTGAATATATGTAGCTTCCAAGATTATTTGATTATATGTAGCTTCCAAGCATTTTCATATATATTTTTTTCATATTTATAAACATCTGTCCTCGTTGCGGGCACGGTTCAGAAAAATAGAGTTCTAAAGATAGCATCTATCCTGGGTTCTCATTGCTGGGTCTCATCTTCTGATGGCAATGCTGAGATCCAACAGTGAGAACCCTGCACAGATGGTGCCTTCAGTGAAGGAGAATTACAGGTACGTAGTTTTCCCTTTCAACCTCAATTTCAAGGTTTTAATCAAACCTGTGTATTTATATATGCTTAGAGGTCTCATAGTAATTTCAGTGTCTGTGGTAAATTGGCATTTCTTAACCTTTTACAGTCTATATTTTAACACACGTTGAGGCAATTGAATGTTTCTATAAATAAGATCATGATCTTGCAGAATCCGTTCATTCTGTGGTTCCAGTATAATGAGATATTTTTGCGATGGGTATGATATTAACACACAGAATCAGACCCTGAGTAAGCTTTAGTGAATCTTGGAAGCAAGCTCACTAAACATATCCATAAAATTCAGAGGAATATTTGTGTTTGCTATTTTTAGGCACTGATCATTACTCCTTTGAGATTAATGGGAAAACCCCAAACTCTAGTAAACCTCTAAGATTTCCCTTTGGAATAGACATTTATATAATGAAATACTGTTTTTATTTATATCTAAAGAGAATAAGTAAACAATGTTTTCTTCCACAGGAAATTAAACCAGATCAAGTAACCAAATTTGCTCTTGAAAAAGAAATTAATTTTGAGAGTGTCTGCAAAATGGTGAGTTTAAAAATACATTAAAATCTCTATTATTGATAATTATGCCTGTAATCTGGAGTTATATCTGTATGTTATGGCATGTGCACCTACAAATTGCAATTTAGTAGAAGTGGCTTGTCATTTAAGGCAGGTGGGACTCATCCCCACCAGTCACAGGCAGCTAGGTAATTGGTCACATCTGTTACGTATTTGGCATTAGATTCATAGAGTCTTAGAAAATTATTGTTGGAAGGGACTTCAGGAGGTCATATAGTCCAACCCCCTGCTCAAAGCAGGACAGTCCCTAACTAGATCATCTCAGCCAAGACTCTGTCTACCCAGGTCTTAAAAACCGCCAGGGGTGGAGATTCCACAGCCTCTCTGGGTAACCTGTTCCTGTGCTTTACTTACCCTCCTAGTGAGAGTATTTCCTAATATTTGAACTAAACTTCCCTTGCTGCAACTTGAAACCGTTGCTTCTTGTTCTGTCACCTACCACCACTGAGATCAGTCTAGCTCTATCCTCTTTGGATCCCCCCTTCAGGTAGTTGAAGGCCACTATTAAATCCCCCCTCAGTCGTCTCTTCTCCAAACTAAAGCAGCCCAGTTCTCTCAGACTCGCCTCATAAAAAGCTAAGTGAACTGGTCGTATTCATTATTTATTTTTTATTGGCATTCCGTGTTTGTGGTTCAAATGACTGACTTAATTTTGCCCAGTCAAAGCTTTCACTTAAAAGAAAAAAATTCTAACTCTTTAGATGGCAGGCAAAATCTTTCACAGAATGTAACCAACATCATGACATCTGTTTGAGTCTATGGACAGCCTAAAATCGTAATTGAGTGTGAACTCCCTGTTCTCTGTTAATCTTGTTGACATGTCTCCTCTGAAATCCAATGAAGATGCTTAGTTAAATATTAACTATTCCATTCCTGATGTCACTAGCAGATGGAATGTCCGAGGGGGTCATGATTAGGAGTTGCTTTTCAGGATGGAATTTGGAGGAAAGAGCAAAGGAAATTCACATAGAGAGTAAATAGGCAGCAACAAAGAAGAAAATGAAGAGCAGTAATAAGTACCCTTAAGAGGCAGGTATTTTTAACAGAATCATACTGAATCAGTAATAAATGATAGAAACAAGTTTAGGTACTCCATAAAGGCTGTCTTCTCCCTGTGATCTCTGTGCTCTAACTAATGATTGTGATCACAAAACTAATTTTGTATCCATGTCCACGAAGTATAACTAAACATGGAATGTGGCCATCTCCCCATAATAAGCTTGACCTCTTTCTTTTATGGTGACTGTACAATGACTGTACAGCCTGCTGCTAAAGGTTTCTGGTGATTTCTCTAGCCTATGGAGTCTCCAGCATATACAACAAGAATAGTTCCATGGATAAAATTGGGTTAATCTCCTATTTGAAGAGTAATGTAACATATTCTCTATAAAAAAAAGACTTCTTGGGTCTGACATGGCACAAGTCTAATAAGAGTTCTGCTGTGTTGTCTTCTGTGCCATTCCTTCACGTGATGGCCAGAAAAGAATAAGAACAAAAAGGGTTGCAGTGTTGCTGACAGGGAATCAGTAGGACATGCTCTCAAGGGTAGGGCATGAAGTTTCCATTCAGGAGGAAAGCTGGGGACAGACTACCAGGAAATAGGATTTATAGTACTGGGGAAGAGGTACTTCCTAGTTTAAAAAGACTCCTGCAGCAAGTCTCTATCTCAGAAAAATCATGGGTTAAGGACATCAAGACGCTGATGTCTGTTACTGTGGTAAGTAGCACTGCCAAGAGTTCAAGATCATTAGGCTTTTCACTGATGGAATTACTGAAAGATGCAAAGGCCCAGAAGTAAAGCAACGGTTGATATTTCATTGGAACACTTCATGCACAGTTAGGTTTTGTTACCCAAAAAAGGAAAGTGGTAGGATTTGTTTTTTGGGGGGGTTGTTTTGTTTTGTTTCTTTTGTTTAATCCTACCAAATAATCTCTTGCGTCTACTCCTTCGTTTTTCCCTGAGTATGACTGTAGCAAACTTGCAAAGGAAGATTTTTATGCCATGAAATTCCTGGGCTTTGGGAATTTTTTTCCTCAGTAATGGTGTTCATAGACACATCTAGCTGCATGCTTTAGTCCTTAAGGTGAGTTTTGTTTTTCTCAGAATCCTATTTATAAACAGGTACTTATGAAATTCCATTTTTAGAATTATTATTCTAAGGATCTTAATTGTAAAGCTCCTCTGCTATTAAGTTTCTGTATTATATGGCTCTGCAAAACAAGGCTTTACTTTGAACATGCTTCTGCATGAATGCAATCTCTGCTCACAAGAACAGTTACAAAAGGTACAACTATCAGTGTATTTTAATAAAATTCAGCTCCCCAGTTCCTTTTCTGTCTTTGCTATGTCTCTTTCAAGTGCTTGTCCATTTATACATTAGCACTGTGGAAGAGCAGGCTCTGTAAGCACTCAAGCTCAGGGCTTTACTGTGTTAACTTTTCCCACAAACTCATTCACTCTTCTCCTCCTACTATTCTGCTGAAGGCATAAAGGGAAGTATGTACTTCAGATTCCTCAGTTCCTCTAAGCAGTTCTACCTTGAGATTAAGTGTTTTGAAGTCTGTTCTGTTTGGCCTATGGCTGTTTAAAGCCTTTTGTCTATCTATTTATTTTTATTTAACCCATTTTTAGCCATTTTGAGAGTCTCCTGTTGTCTCTCTCAATTTTTAGTTTAGATCTCCTTCATTGTCTTTGTGACCTTAGATCAGGGGCAAGCCAAATATGGCCTGTATCTGGCACCCCAGGCAATTCTATCCGGCCCATGGGGCCCCTACAAAATTTAGAAAATGAATATTTATCTGCCCCTGGCTGCCTTTCAAAGATGACAGGATCCAGGAGCAGTAGGACCCAGGGGGAGCAGGCAGCAGAACTAAATGGCCGTAGCAGCAAGTCTGGCCCAGCCCAGCCCGGCCCTGCCCCCCCTCAAAGCCTCTCCCCAAACCCCAGCTTGAAGCCTCTGCCTGGCAGGGGCTTCTGAGGGTTTCTGGCCTGGAACTGTTCCTGCCTCCCTGCGCTGAGGGAAATACAGATAAGAAGGAGGGGGGAGGCAGGCAGAGGAGGACCATTGTTGATTGCCCCAGTCCTCAAAGCCAGCCAGGCCAGCTCCTGCAGTTCTGGTGCTGAAGCTGGGAACCATGTGGTGCCAGCTGACAGGCAGGGCAGAGCACAGTGACAGCCAGGTGGGAGCACAGGGCCCATGCCGGAGCACCGGGGCCAGCGCCAGTGTGGCCCAGAGTGGAGCGGCAGGAGCATGGGGCTGGGTTGGCAGGGGCTCTGTGAAGCCACATTGTCTCCCTCCTCGCCCTGTTTGAGCAGTGCAGCCCGCAGGCCCAAAACTGAACACAGTACTCCAGATGTGGCCTCACCAGTGCCAAATACAGGGGAATAATCACTTCCCCTGACCTACTGGCAACACACCTACCAATGCAGCCCAGCATGCCATTAGCCTTCTTGGCATCAAGGGCACACTGCTGACTTACATTGGACAATAAGCTGAATATAACCCCCAGGTTCTTTTCTGCAGAGCTGCTGCGCAGCCTATCAGCCCCCAGCCTGTACTGGTGCATGGGATTGTTCCGTCTTAAGTGCAGGACTTTGCACTTGTCCTTGTTGAACTTCATGAGATTTCTTTTGGCCCAATTCTCCAATTTGTCTAAGTCATTCTGAATCCCAGCCCTACCCTGCAGCATATCTCCAGAATATCTTCCACAGAAGGAAGTGGTGGATGAGGCTTTCTTCAAACAGCTAGTAGAAGTTTCCCAATCATAGGCCCTGGTTCTCATGGGGGACTTCAATCACTCTAACATCTGCTGGGAGGGCAGTAAAGCAGTGCAGAAGTATTGGTGACAACTTCCTGGTGCAAGTGCTGGAGCGGCCAACTAGGGGCCATGTTCTTCTTGACCTGCTGCTCACAACCAGGGAAGAATCAGTGAGGAATGTAGTAGCAGATGGCAACTTTGGCAGCAGTGACCGTGAGATGATAGAGTTCAGGATCCTGAGGAAAGGAAAGATGGAGAGCAGCAGAGTAAGGACCCTGGACTTCAGAAAAGCAGACTTTGATTCACTCAGGGAACTCATAGGCAGGATCTCTTTGGAAGCCAGACTGAGGGGGAGAGGAGTTAAGGAGAGCTGTACTTGAAAGAAATCTTACTGAGAGTGCAGGAACAAACCATCCCAAGGCACAGGAAGACTAGCAAGTATGGCAGAAGACCAGCTTGGCTTAGCATGAAACTCTTCACCAAACTAAATCACAAAAAGAAAGCTTATAAGAAGTGGAAACTTGGACAAATAACTGGCAAAGGATATAAAAACATTGCTTAGGCTTGCAGGGATAAAGTCAGGAAGACCAATGTGCAATTAGAGTTGCAGCTACCAAGGGATGTGAAGGAGAACAAGAAGGGTTTCTACAAGTATGTCAGTAGCAAGAAGAGGATCAGGGAAAGCATGGGTCCCTTACTGAATTGGGGAGGAAACCTTGTGACAGAGGATGCAGAAATGGGTGAAGTGCTCAATGCCTTTTTTGCCTCAGTCTTCATAGGCAAGGTCAGCTCCTAGACTACTGCACTCGACAGCACAGTTTGGGGAGGAGGTGAGCATCCCTCAGTGGTTTAAAAAAAAAAAAAGCAAATGGGTTATGGACTAAGAAAAGCTTGGGTGTGTACAACAAATCCATGGGGCCAGATGGGATGCACCCGAGGGTGCTGAGGGAGTTGGCTGATGAGATTGCAAAGCCACTGGCCATCATCTTTGAAAACTCATAGCATCAGGAGAGGTCCCGGATGATTGGAAAGGGCAAACATAGTGCCTATATTTAAGAAAGGGAAGAAGGGAACTTCAGACCAGTCAGCCTCACCTTGATCCCTGGAAAAAGTCATGCAGCAGATCCTCAAGGAATCCATTTCTAAGCACTTGGAGAAGAAAAAGGTGATTAGGAACAGTCAGCATGGATTTACCAGGGGCAAGTCTTGCCTGACCAACCTTCTTGCCTTCTATGCTGATGACTGGGTCTGTGGATGTGGGGAGACCAGTGGATGTGGTGTACCTTGATTTTAGCAAGGCTTTTGATATGGTCTCCCACAGTATTCTCACAGGCAAGCTAAGGAGGTGAATGGACTGGATGAATGGACTATAAAATGGATAGAAAACTGGCTGCAGCATTGGGCTCAGAGAGTAGTAATCAATGGCTTGTTGTCTAGTTGGAACCTGGTATCAACTAGAGCACCCCAGGGGTCAGTCCTGGGGCTGGTTTTGTTCAATGTCTTCATCAGTAACCCAGAAGATGGCATAGAGTGCACCCTCAGCAAGTTTGCAGATGACACTAAGCTGGGGGGAGTAGTAGATACACTGGAGTGTAGGGCTAGGATTCAGAGTGACTTAGACAAATCGGAGGACTGGGGCAAAAGAAATCTCATGAGGTTCAGCAAGGACAAGTGCAAAGTCCTGCACTTAAGACAGAACAATCCCATGCATTGGTACAAGCCAGGTGCTGACTGGCTGGGCAGCAGCTGTGCAGAAAGGGACCTGGGGGTTACAGTGAACAATAAGCTGAATATGAGCTAGCAGTGCGCCCTTGGTGCCAAGAAGGCTAACGGGATCCTGGGCTGCATTGGTAGGTGTGTTGTCAGTAGGTCAAGGGAAGTGATTATTCCCCTCTATTCAGCACTGAATGCATGCACATGGTGTCCCCTGCCTGACCACCCTCCTCCTGCTCCCTCCCAGCCCCTTGCAGGCTGGAACTCTGCCAGCTTGAGCTCTTTGCAAAACTGCAAAATCTGCAGGTTTCTCCATTAAAATGAGGAATCCGTGTTTTTCTCCAGTAAAAGGGGGAAATCCCTGGTTTTGTTCATTTTTTCCATGGGAAAAAAAAACCTGGATCCCTACTGATTACTTCAGCAAAAAGGGTGAGTGAGACCTAAGTACTAGTGATGAGAGGTAGAGGCAGATAATTCAGTGTGAACAAGTGGTCGGTAGGCACAGGGAATAGAAAATAGTGTGTGAACAATTACCAAGGAGGCAGAGTTGAGACAGACACTGGCAGGTGGGAGATAAAATAAGATTAGAAGATCCAGGGAAAAAAATGTTGCTGCTGTCCATAATTATATAATAATGCCATGTTAAATGTCCTGTGGGATTAATTTAGTTCAGCATATAAAAGTAGTTTTAACTTGGGTTGTTGGAGCTTATTTCTGCCCAAGTATGTGCTGATTGTATAAAACTGGGTTGTTAGAGCCATCAAGTTCACTCTCCTGCACCTCAAGATCTCAGTGTAGCTGGTTCCTCAGTGGGAGGAAGGTGAGGAATAAGCCAGTTTCCTTGCAAACAGGTTTCAGGCAGGGGAAACCCCAATGCTCCACATGGTCTTTTACACAAACCAGCTCTCCTTATGGACTTCACTGCAAGCACATCTACCTAAGGTTGTTACTGAATTTTATTTCAGCCAACGAATCCCTCTGCTAGTGCTTTTCTCAAAACCTCCATTCTCCAGAGTTGATATAGAGATGCTTGATGTAAAAAGACACTTCTCTTTTTACCTGCATAGGAGTAAACCTTTCAGAAAATCCCTGTAGGCATTCATTTTCTTACCTGACACATGCAAAAGTGCATTGAGTGCTTCGAGATGCAGTGTATAGAAAAAGCATGTTTTTCATCCTGCCCACTCTCCTGTCTTCCTCTGTCTCTGACAGTGGGATTGAAAAGAACTGAGGACCAGGAAGTCCACCCTACCTGTTTGCCTAGACATGAAGCACAAAAAAGAGAGGAGGGCATGTGTATGCTGTGCAAGTACTGTTAGGGTAAAAAAAAGTTTCTGAACCAGAGTGCTTGAGGTGCATACTTATCTCAGTACTGCTAAGTAATTTGTTTTTTTGGGGGGGAGAGGGTTCTCCTCCCATAATTCATAGAGGTATCCTTTATTATTTTTGATAGGATGTGTTTTTCTTTCTCTTTTAATACCTAATAATGTTCTGCAGGTCAGATAAAAAACATCATATATTATTTTACTCCTTCATTAACTTGAATATCCAAATATCTGAAGCAAAACATCCTGTGACTCTTTTCATTTTCAGAATAGGTTTATTTTCATTGGTAAAAATGATCTGTTTTTAATTCTCTGTGGAATGCTGAATACTATTTTTGCATAGTAGACACAAAGTCAAGACATTAGTTGTTAATTCCTTCCACCTACAGAGATTTTATGTTGCATTATGGCTATTTTCCATATTTTTTCAGCATAAAATAAGCGTAAATTGCTGTTTGGAAAGGGTTTATATATAGTTCAACTATTGACACAAATATTTATGCTAAGCATCTAGTAAGATAAAAATTTTTTAAATTAATTTCATGATTTTGCTGTCTTTAGATAAGTGTACATATGCTTGCAGTTAGTAACAGTTAGCAGGGGAGATGAATGTATTAAATCTACAGTAGTGGAAAATTGTGGTAGCACTTAGAGTCCCCAGTCCGGCTTTACTGGGGCAATTAGGTCTTAGCCCAATCCTTTTCCTTTTCCAAAGAAAGGGCGCAAGCATAAGAAAAGAAAAGAATATGCATTCTACTTCAGTAACAGATGTAATGCTGTCAATATTTGTCCCGCTGCCAAATTTCCAGTCTTATAGGAGCCCTGCAGGCCAGATGGCATGGCTCTGAGTGCTGGATGCTGCTTATAATCCATATCTTTGACACCCCTGCATTAGGGGCTTGGTCTAAGGGCACTCAGCACTTTGTATGATTAGGCCATATGAAACTGGGACAACCAGTTTTATGATCAGAGCGTTTAATTACAGCACTTGCAGAAAACTGTGTAAAGGTTAGTAACAGTAAACGCAATGTCAAATAGAGTTACGTATAAAATCATTTAAAATTTGGTATTCAGCAATGCATATTTTAACTATCCTACAGGCAAAGGAAAGAGGATGACGGAAGACATTGCTGAGGCAAAGAGAGCATTAATATTTGAGATTTCTCATTGGAAAAGCACAGTTTACTAGTCTTCTTAAATGTGGAGGTGGTTCCTTTCAGTTTTTATGACGTTCCTAAATATATCCTTATAATTTTAATTTAGTTTGAACTAAGCATTTTATAATTGAAAATATGTATAGTTAAAACAGTGCAGATGCCTTTTGTTTCCATAAGGTTAGGCAATGCAAAGCCCACTCTAGTCGATAGGAATCTTTTCATTGACTACAAAAGGGCTTTGGATAAGGAGCAGAATCACTACAATTTTTGTGCTGACAGCAAAAAAACAACTTTTCTATAATGACAGATTTCTGTTAATGATATAAAACGTCTGGTTTTGTTAGTTTTCTTTAATGGCAATATAAACAGATAATTACTCATGGATTTTTAACATTCTTTGCTTATGAAAAAATTATGTTTGCACTTTGTAATCCACAGGGAAATAACTACTGTATGCAGTCTTCTCTCCGCCTCTTGGTTTAATGTTGATGTGATAGCCTATCATTTAGTCTCTTATATATTATGATTGTCTCTAGCTTACACTTCAGTATTTCTATACTTGATTATTGTCAGCATTAGCTTCCAAAATTTGCCATTTTAAAAAATTACCAGAGTCAGAGTGTGATTGCATTCTAACAGTCATCATCAAGCAAGTCTGGCAAGATGAGTGTTTTGCCTTATGTCACTGCCAGGAAATTTTCAGACAAAAAACAGCTGTTGTTTTTGTGAGACCTACCAAAACTTACTACTGCTACTACTACTATTTTTTCTATGCTCTACTTATGGCCCAAATTTGGCCTGAAAAGGTTCAGCTGAATTAAATGGATATCCTATGAGAACATTCAGTACAGAATTTTGATTCAAATTGTATTTTTTATCTGAAACTCATTTTGTCCTTCTCTGCCTTAATAGCTACTCTCCTTTTTGCATTTATAGTGATAGCAACTACTAGAATACTGCCATTAGGTTATTTAAGTACTATAATTATTCACATATCCTAACAATATATGATTATCACATTTACTTTCTTGTTGGAAAACTGATAGGTTGCCTTTTACATCAGTCTACCAGCTTGGGGCATATAAAAGCATATCTAAGCTGTCACTCAGGTGTCCTGTATACGTGTATATACTGTCTGTATGTGCTAAAAGTATAAAATAACTTTCTTGTCATAGTGATTTTTTATTTAAAATCCTGCAGTATCTGTCTGTAAGAAAGTGTCAGAACCTCTTAATGAAACATTCAATTGTAAGTTGCTTACAGGTGAAATATTGAAGACACTTACCTAATCAGAGTTCTACTTCAGAAAAAAGGATTTTAAATAAATACATTATTTTTTTAGTACAGATTTAAAATAACTGAAGATACCCAGGGAATCAAAAGTATACAGTTGATTTATTGTATCCTTTTTCTGTATCTATTTGGAATGTAAATGGGTCCGCGTATATTAAACCACAGTTTCCTGAGAATTTTCCATGGCAGACAGAAGATGTTAACTTCAAACAACGATTACTGTTTTTCCAAAGACGATTGATGATGTGAAGAATGTTGCATTCAGGTGTAAAAACTGTCTGCAGGACTGATTCTTCAAGACTCAGTCTCATTACTTCAAAAATTAATCATTTGAACTTGGAACTTAGCGGTATTTAGGACTGGTTTTCACTAGAGTTTATACCCTCCTTAACTACATTTTATAAACAGAGTTAAAATGGTTATTCTTTTACTATGGTTGTGTCTGTAGTACATCACCACACATTGCTTTTATCATGTTAAAAGCGTGTTTTTCTCTAGCCTCATTTTCAGAAGTGATTGAACCAAATTCCAAAAATGTTCCGCCTAAGGCAGGCCCTTAGAAAATGTCAGTTATAGCTTGGCAAAGTTAGCTATGAGCAACTGAAAACAGAGTTGTCTGATAGGGTCATCAAACCTAAAAAATGTGTGGTGTTTCCAGTCCCTTTTTTTAGTAACCCTTTTTATACCAGTATAATTATGACCATACAGAGGAGCTATGCTACTTAATTATATCAGTATGAAGTCACACCACTAACCAGAATAGTTCAATAGTTTAAACAAAGTGTGCGTGTGTGTGTGTATTTGTATACAGGCATCAGCTGCAGACATAACAGCTAATTCTGTTTTAACAAAAGCTGCATATTTCAGTTTGTGATTTAAGCATGGCTTATATTGTATTACATTCATTTCAATTATTTGCTGTCTTCAGTTGGTTTGGCTTAGTAGAAATACCATTGTTGCTTGAGGGTTTGAAGCATTTACATTTTTGTTCCCATGTTTAAGCCAAGTATTTAACAAAAGTGTGTTAAAATAGGTTGGTGCTCAGAATTGAAACTTGTAGATTTGTTAGGAAAATAGATTTAGTCTTTTTAGCTGGAAGTGTTTTTAGGAAGAAAAAGTTTACATTGGATATGTACTATTTTTTGTTTTTAATATTTTTTGTAGAATTTCCTACAGATTTGAAAAAATATTGTTAGAATGTGGGAAGGCATGAAACTGGCCTAAATTTATGCAACCAAAATACTGAGGGAGACACTTTTTTAAAGAACTCCATTGAGGTTTCATGTGATGTAGCTAATAGAAAAAAAGATTAAACTTTTATATCCCTGTCTTCCTTTAAGTTGTATGAATGCAGGTAAATTCATAGCAATAATGGCTGCATATAACCCGTAGGAATGGCAGTTATGTATGATAGTATGTTTCTATATCCATTCCTTGTTTCTCTATACTAAATTCTCTACAGTGGATAGTCCTGGGCAGTGTTTGAAAGGAGGCTAAATACACCTTGCCCTGACAAAGTAAGAGGCTGCTTTCAGCCATGCAACAAGAGACAAGTCTTAAGATTTGCATTTGCTACATACTTGCGAGGGAAATTAATTGCTTTTTCAGCTGGTCCGCAAAGGCAAAAAAAAAAGTGGGGAGTTTGAGGAGGGGGGTCATTTGGTGGGGAGGGGAATAGGAGAGAAACCTTCTAAACTACCTGAATAATGAGTAGGGATCCTGGTTTTCTCTGTTTAAAAATCACTGGATCTCTGATAACTCCTGCAGATTCTCTGATTAAACACCCCAAACGCCACGATTAAAATGAAATGCCACTATATATATATGTATCTATATATGTATAGGTATCAAATGAACACAATGTTTTATTGATATATCTACAGTTGTAAAGCAATTTGAGAGCCTACCAGTGCCTCAATCACTATAATAAAATAAATTCTAAGTACCTATAAATTTTGATATCTTATTTTGGGCTTTTTATCATGGAAAATCAGACCTCCCCTATCTCCATACCTCACCAGGATGTAGGTCCAGGCCCCTCACTCCCCACCTACAGCCCCCCCCCCCCAGCTGGTCCCCTTTGTTCCCCAACCACAACCCCCCCATCCCTACTGGTACCCTTCACTCCCCACCCACATCCCCTGCCACCCCTCCCAGCCCTGCTGGAAGGAACCCCGGCTGCCAGGCCTATAGAGCCGGGGCCTGAGTCTGCAGCCCCCTGCAACAGCGCCCAAGCCCTGGCTTCCACAGCAGATCAGAGCCTGGAGCCCAGCCCCCACCCCCTCCCACGGACA